TTACGGTTATGTGCCCTGGAGTCGGTTCCGACTCACAGCAACTCTGTACAGGGTTTCCGAGGCTGTAAATCTTTACGGGAGCGGAAATCCTCATCTTTCTCCTGCGGAACAGCTGGTAGTTTCGAACTGCTGACCTTGCAGTTCACAGCCCGATTCGGAACCACTACCAGAGCTTTTTAGGAGCCATCTAATCCAATGTTGGGTTTTTGTTTTGTTTTTGATTCATAAACTTCATGTTGTTGTTAATGCTGTTGAGTCGGTTTCCAAGGAGCGGCTGGTGAGTTTGAACTGCCGTAAATAAGGATTTGGTGGAAGGAATTGGTACCCACATCTTAGATCACACATCTTTCATAGTAATACATGATCTCTCAAAACTCTTAGGAATTATTTTAATTGCCATTTTTTTCACTGTACATGATGGAAAGATAATTTTAAAGAAATAGTGTTTTGAAATTGCTGTCTTATTGAAGAGAGAGAGAGATAGCTGCCATTCAGACAACTTAGATTCTTGTACAACAAAACATTGTCTGGTCCTGAGTCATTCTCATGATCACCAGCATGTTTGAGTTCAACATTGCAACTACTGTGTCAATTTATCTCACCGAGCCCTCGCTGGCCCTCTACTTCACCAAACATGATGTCCTTCTCTAGACATTGAAGCATCCTGATGATATGTTCAAGGCAAGTCAGATGTGTTTGTTCTTGTTCTGTTGTGATCCATAAGGTTTTCATGGCCCAGTTTTTAGAAGTAGATTGTCAGGCCTTTCTTCCTAGTCTTAGTCTGGTATTTCTGTTGAAACCTGTCTACCATGGGTGACATCTGAAACACCAGTGGCATAGCTTCCAGTATCACAGCATCATCTTGAAAATTATTACAGCGGGGCAAACTAATAGGAAACAAGTGGATTATTTTGGTAGCATTATAAAAGTCATCTTTACAACATATTTATAATATGCAATTTATACACTATTTGTAATGAAACATATACTAAGCTAGTTTTCCATTTAACAACTAAAGCCCATGTTTATTTTACTTTAAGTTAATTATGTAAAAAAAGCAAGTGTTTATTTTGAAAATCAAATTTAATTTGAAACATTGAAATAAAGTTATGTTGTTGTTGTTGTTGTTGTTGTTGTTAAGTGCCTTCGAGTCGGTTCCGACCCATAGCGACCCTGTACAGGGTTTCCGAGGGTGTAAATCCTTACAGGAGTAAGAGTTTACCTAATATGATATTTGGCATTATTTTATTTTGTAAATGAAAAGGGCATTTCTACATGAAAAGGGCATTATACATTCTAAATGATTTGCGCTTGTTTCTAAATGATTAACAAAGATTTCAAACTACTAATTTTAATTATTTCTCAAATCATTAGTAGGTATGGGGAGTTTTTATTCATAGTAAATGAAATGCCAAGTTACAAAAAATTGCCACTATATCTATTTTAAATGTTTTTAAAAAATATTTTAAGGTAGGAGAGAACTCTTGGTGGCTACCTAAAAGTCAACAGAGGATGACTCCATCTCATATTTGATGTCGATCTCTTTGAGATGAACTTACAAAATTAGTATGCTCTCCATAACTTGTAACCTTATGTTGTGGTCTTAAATCAACCATCAATAAGGCAAGCTATGGACTGCTGAGTGACTGAGTCATAAGTATACACCTTGGTTCCCTCTAATGCACTTTCTTGTTATAAATTGGGAAACTTTAATTTGTAAATAAAAAATCGAATTTAGATTGATTTTAAAAACAGGAGAGAAAAAAATGGAGAGATTGGTACCCCCTTGGATGATGTTATCAACCCTCTGAAACACCTCTGCCACCCATTGTTGTTGTTAAGTGCAGTTGAGTCAGTTCTGACTCAGAGTTACCCTGTAAAGAGGTTCAGAGGAGTGGCTGGTGGGTTTGGACTACCAGCCTTGTGGTTAGCAGTCCAGTGCTTATCCTATAGTGCTGTTCTATCACCTATAGAGACCAAGAATGTTTGAGGTAGCATAACTTTGTTTAGCTAAGTTACCAAGACCACAGAAGTTAAGTGACTTGTCCCAGGCTACATAATTAGCAGTTATTGTAGCTTCCGTTGTCCTTAGCCAGAAGAAAATTTACCTTTCTATTTATAAAGATTGCTTTCATTAATCATGTTGGTGGTGGTGATTGTGTGCCATGGAGTCGGTTCTGACTCATAGTGACCCTGTATAGGATATCTGAGGCTGTTAAATCTTTACAGGAGCAGAAAAACCTCATCTTTCTTATGCGGGGCAACTGGTAGGCTTAAACACCTTTCCATTCATCATAGGCATTTGAAATATATATTAGACATGGTCAGGTAAGATGGCTATCCTAAATTGTACTAAATTTGCTTTTAATTATCACAACATATCTATGCCTTTTCTAAGTTTTTAGAGTATACAGAACTAGACACTACTTTGCATAGTTCCCTAATTGGTTTTAAGTCTATAAACCTAAACTTCTCAAACTACAGTGAATTCTCATAAGGTCAAAGGTCCTCAGTAAATTTAATAAGAAAGGTACTTTACAAATATCAAAGTTTTTATGCCTAAGAACAAATTTAGTGTTACCTCCTTTCTCTTGTCTTATCTGAAAGTGAGAAAAGGAGTTCTGGTGTGGTGCTATAGGATAAGCCCTTACTGCTAACTCCAAGGTCTGTGGTTCAAACCCAGCAGCTACTCCTTGGAAACCCTATGCAAGGTTGCTATGAGTCAGGACTGACTTGATGGCACTTAACAACAACAACTGAGAAAAGAATAGTAACAAGGTCAAATAGGAAACAATGTCATAGGAGAGAAAAGTCATAGGGTATAAACAACCTTCTAATGAACTGTAAATATCTAAACGTTTTTCCCTATACAAGTTATTTTGGATACTGTTAAAATGCTCCCTTCTTCACAAATGTCCCACCAACTTCTTCAAGCTTTCCTTTTAAACTCTATGGGCCTGTTACAACAGTGATTGGGCCAAGACTTGCTAGCTCAGATCTATCATAAACCTGAAAAGTAATTAACACACATCTATTATCTTGGATCTTAGAGAAGTTTCCCCAGAAGCAAAGCCCATGAAGGGGTTTAGATGCAGTGACTTATTGAAGGCATGCTCTCAGAAGAAAAGGAGTTAGAGAAGCAGAATAAACTGAGGAAGGTGCTTAGTGAAGATGGGGTCTCAGCTGGAGTCTGACTTCATTCTAATCCTTTTGGGAGTTCTGGAGCCTGAATTGCATTAAAAAGTTGGCCGTCCTTGAGATAAGGACCTTTTGTATGTCCCCACCCCAATCAGTCACTATCATTGGCTGTGGGAGGTGGAAGCATAACCTCCCAGGCAAGGCTGCTGCAGTTCAGCTGAGGACAATTTTCTGGAGAAGGAATCAGCTGTGAACTGTTAAGGAACAACACACAGCCTCTGGGAACTGCAGGTACAGGCCTATAAATGGTGTTTGGGTAGAGAATCACTGCATCCATTATACCTTATCATGCCACTTACCTTCTTGATTAAACTATAAAAGAGGAAAACCATGAAAGAACAAGAATAGATCAGTTTCATATAAGCACAGACAATAAAGGAAAAATAACGTTTGTTGAGAGCTCTATATTTGGAGGGGAAGGGGGAAAAAATACTTGCACATATATAGCCTCAATGCCTGGGGCTTTATCTTCTACCTTGTCTAATTTCCAGACCCCAAATTCCTAGACTGGCTGTTCCCAGCTGACTCTGAAACTTACTTCTTTTGAGATTTTTCCAACGACAATAGGAAAATTACTAAATATTCTGTTCCGTGGCTCTATAGGATAACCACAGGATTTCGAATCACGATGTCAGTGGTTTGAACCCACCGGCTGCTCCTTCGAAAACTTACAGCCTCAGAAACACTACACAGGGTCGCTATGAGTCAGAATCAACTCAACAGCACTTAACAATAACAAAAGCTCTTAGAAAAAACTTCCATAACTGAGATACTGGACAGTACTATAAAACTGAAAAGTATCTATTATGGGAATTCTACATCTTTGCTGTCTTAATATGAACATACAGTAAAGGATAACAAGTAAAAATTCAATATTTTATTAAGTTCTGAGGCGTAACATAAAATAGTTTACCATAAAATGCATAAAGTTTGAAAAATGTTTAAGACAAAATACTATTAGCTTATCATAAAAGTTAAGGAAATATCCTACAATGGTAGCAAAAATTATAATTTTTTGCTTAATTTAATTATTTTAACTCACCCAAAAGTAAAGTTAAGAAATAGTTTTTAAACAGCTTTCTGTAGTTATATATAATGTTCTTGTTTTGGCTTTATGTCTGAAAAGTCATGTATTTAATTGGTTTTAGGACCTATAAAACTATCTTTGAGCTATAATCACAATTTGTATTTCTATAAGACTTAACAGGAATGAGCTGGATAGAATCAGCATGATAAACATAACTCAATGAGAGATTTAAACCTAGTTGGTTAAAAAAAATACTTGGAGTGTTTTATTTCTGACTAGGGAACTTACTGGCCCATATTCCCTTTCCTATTAAAGTCATGAGGTGTTGTGGATATTATCAGTATTCATCTGAGTTATATAATGAGTCAAATACAGAAACACCAAAATAGATTTTTGTGTATATAGTGGAGTTGAAATGCTTTGATGAGATAAAGGATGTCAGTCATTGTGCACAGTGATAGCTAGAGATGCCTCAAAGGGAAATGAAATATAGCTGGTAATGCTTGGACCTGGCTTTTTAAGTACAGAGTCCTTGCTCTTTCTTATTTCTTCCCATAGCATACCCCCCAAAACACAGAATGGAGATAATGGGGAAAGATACAGAGATTTACCTAGCAGTAAAACACCGGAGGCAGACATTAGGATGCTATGACAAATCCACAACCTGAAAAGCCTCCAACTTTGGGGGGGTTGGGAGGGGGGACTGTCACCCCACTAATTGAATTCACAGTACTGAAAAGCAACAAATGAAAGTCTAAGACAGAAAGCAAACCATATAATTTTAAAAAATCTTTAATGTGCTGTTTTGAACAATTCTATGAAATGTAAATATAATTATTTCTATTAACCCATTTCATTGCTAAATTCTTGAATCAGGATTCAATGATTTTATGATTTTCAGTGATACCATAGACTTCTCAAAATATCTCACTCAATCTAGCTAGTTGTAAAATTTCTCCAGTACTTTAAAAAAAAAAAAAAATCTTTTGAGCACTTGAACACAGGAAAATATCCTACATAGAGATGGCCTATTGTTTTTATTTGAATTTTGTTGGCAGTTCAATTCTGTTGGTTTCAACAATATTTATTGAGCACCTACTATGTACCAGGCACTGTTCTAGATATTGGGAACACAAAGATGAATAAGACATGGACTCTGCCCCCAAGGTGCTTACAGTCTCTTGGAGGCAAACAGGTAGTGCAAATACTTAAAGTTTATTCTAAAATGGACAAAAATGTCAGCAATGTAGTAAATATCAGGCCTTTAAATAAAATGGCATGTCATTGTTCATAATGTCAAGGCAGACAAAATGAAGACTATTTTTCGTGTGATAAAACAGTAAATAAAACCATTAAGACCTAACTTTTAAAGATTCACATGATAAAGTACTAAAAATTTACACCACAGTTTTCAAGTATTTCATACTTAGAAATATTATTGCCCACATTTGTGCTATAGTCAAACTCATAATTCCAGGTTACTGCGTCATTCACATCTCAGCATGCTGGGATTCAGTTTCTCACTGAGTTTATGGATTAGAATGGCTAGCTCCTCAGTTGCTTGGCTTTTGTCCTCCAAAAGTTCATAACGAAGACTGGAAATATCTTGCTTGATTTCTTTTAATTCACCTATAGTATTGGTGTTAAAAATAGAATTAGTAGTTTGCTCTTTATATTTAGAAAGGAGCAAGGAGTGAAATTCATATAATACAAAAATATTTGTTTCATAAAATCTTCAATTTATCTATTTCAGTTTTATAAGAAACATTTTAAGAAATGCTTTTCTTTAAAAATATACTGACCTCTGAAAAAAGTTATAAAAATAGTTGTGTTTTAATAGTATAAAGTAGGTTAAAATATTCACCTATTCAGCTTTTCCAAGGGATGATTTTTCTGATAACGGACCAGGGCTTCAACCCCCTGCTCAGAATTGCCATTTCTACCACACATATGATTCATTATAACTGGGGTGGAAATGCAGATTCTAAGCAAGGAATGAATGAATCCCTTGGAATGAATCCATTGGAAGCTCTGCTTGTAAATGACTGTATTGTAAGTAAACCATTGATTTTCAGAAGTAAATCTTGGAGCAAAAATTTACCTTGAATCCAAACAATGATCCTTCAAGTCACTGATAAGTTGGCTTACCTTTTTATAATAGAATATCATGTAAAACGTTTATGGTCTTTCCAGGAATCTTTATGATGCCTTAAATATAATTTCTATGTTCTGTTTCATAAGAGTCAGAACTTTTTTTATTTTAAAGAATTCTAAATCTTCCTCAAAAATACACATAAAACATTTTTGGATTATTTTGTGGCAAAAAAAAGAAAGAAAGAAAAGAAAAACTCTTCTTTTTTCATGCATGGCAATGTAGAGGGAATTGTTATCAGTTGCCATCAAGCCAACTGCAACTCATGGCAACCCCAGGTACAAAAGAACAAAATGTTGCCAGGTTCTATACCATCTTCACTATAGTTGCTATGTTTTGAGTGAATCATTATGGCTACTCTATATTTTGAGTGCCTTCCAAACTTGGGGTTTCATCTTCCAGCACCACAGGCAAACTGGATGAATATTCTATTGTGATCCATCAATTATGTTTATTTTCTGATTAGTGGAGTACTACCAAACTCAATCCAAGTTATAACTGTTTGACCATAGCTTACACCTTTATTATATACTTATCATCAAAATTAATGTATTCTCAAACTTTTTATACATATAAGCAAAAGACTAAAGAAAATGCTCAGAATGAAATGATTTACCTGTAATATAGGAAGACAGGTGAATGAAGCCAGAATTCACTCCTGACTAGAAATGTCATGAGACATCACAGTGTATGCATGGGCATGCTATGCTAGAACAATTTTACTTAATATCATCATTTCCACAAGTTGTATGTGTGGGCACATTATTTATGTGGGTGTGCTTTTTGAAAAAAATATAATACTATTGGGTTGCCTCCTTTGCAAAGGATTCCTTATATTAGTTAAAACACATCTTCAAAGCTTCAAAGCCCATGAGAAATTTTACTAAGTTTAGCTCTTTTTTTCTTATCAGTATAGATAGTTCTTTATGTTGTTATTGTTAAGTGCCATCAAGTCAGTTCCAACTTACAGCTACCCTGTATAGGGTTTCTAAGGAGAAGCTGGTGGGTTTGAACTGCTGACCTTGTGTCTAGTTGTGTTTGTAGTGGGTTGAAGGTGAACTTCAAAAAGATATGTCCATGCCCCAAAATCTTTGAGTGTGACCTTATTTGGAAAAAATGTCTTTGCTGATGTAGTTAGGGATCTGCTGCTGAGATCATTCTGGACTAGGATGAACCCTAATTCCATTGTCAACTGTCCTTAGAGGAGAAGACACAGAAAAGAAAACTATATGAAGATGGAGGCAGAGATTACAGGTATGCTGCCACAAGCCAAAGAATGCTTGGAGCCTCCAGAAGCGGGAGCTTTCAGAGAAAGCATGGCCCTGCCAAGACCTTGTCTTGGTACTTCTGGCTTCCAAAGCTGTGAGAAAATAGATTTCTGTTGTTCTAAGATGACCAAATTTGTAGTTGTAGTCATTTGTTATGACTAGGAACTAATACAATGTTAGAGGTTACAGTTTAAGTTTGGGCGGAAAATTATTTCTACCGGGCTGATTTCTTTCTCAACTGCTTTGGCCTACCCACAACCTTTGATAAAAAATATTTATAGTCCAGACATGTAGCCTGCACAGGATATACTGAGAAAAACAAGGACACTAAAAGGGGCCAAAGAGAAAATAAAAGGCAAAATAGAAATACCAGACAAGAAAAACTGACTAGAGCCTCATTTGAGGATAATGAGTAGAGTTTTTCTAAAGAAATGTGGATTCTGTGTCAACTATTATTTTACCTCTATCACTGGAAAATTGTTATTACAGATCTGAAATTAATGGAATAAAACTGATAGTAATGTCTCCCTGATATAATATTGTTAAAATGGGAATTAAAATCTCTTAGGAAGATGACATTCTTTACAACCTCAGAATCAGCTAGAGCATTCTAGACAGAAGTAAATTGCCTCTGACTGACATTTTAAAGAACTGTTTCTTACAAAATAATTTTTTAAAAAAAGTTTTGGAATAGAACCTTAAAGGAACCCAAATTGTAACCTGGGATCAGATTTTTAAAAGTATGAGTTGAGACGAAGCTTTCCAAGCCATTAAGTTAGTTGTAAAAGGAAGTTTCTCAAACTTGAGATGCTTACCTTCATTAACTTCATCATTTTCTTTGTCTACTTGTGCTTTCAGAACATATCTCTTTATAAGTCTTTTCATTATCTGCTGTTGGGCAAAAAGAAATGATTGTAATCAATAATACATATAAGTATCCTGGATCCTAATATCCAAAGAGCCTTACATACCTGTAAAACAAACAACTCAGGAGAGAAAATTTTTTTTTATATTTATCAAAGTTTCAGTACTTAGTCTTTGAAAAATTTCTGAGACTTACTACATCAACCTTAAACACATTTTTTTAAGCTCAGGGATGGAGGATGTTTTTTAAAAAGGTAAATTGAAATATTTCAACTCATGGTTTCTCACTGAGGTGCCTTGACACCACACCTTCTTGTCTATAGACACTACATTTGAATTTTATATCACTATTAAAAAATTATGTATGAGTTTACTCTGGTAGCGTAGTGGTTATGATGCAGGCTCAGCAGTTCGACACTACCAGCGGTTTTGCAGGAAAAAGATGAGGCTTTCTGCTCCTGTAAAGATTTATAGCCTCAGAGTCACTGTAACCACCACCATGCTCAATGAAGAGAATTTGAAAAATGCAGAAAACAACAAAAGAAATAACCAAAACCATCTCTAATTTCACTATTAAAATTTTTAGTGTATAGTCTTCCAGCAGTGTTTCTTTGTATTCTGTGTATGTACTAATTACCATTATATATAAGAGGGCCTCAAAATGTTCCCAGGAAAATGGAATTTAGAGATAACGTTAATTTTCCATAAACTTTCTAAAACACCCTTGTATCATAATACAAGGTTTGATGTTTTCTTACTATGTAAGGAATCTGGTAGTACAGTGGTTAAACACTAAGCTACTAAATAAAAAATCAGTGGTTTAAACCCATTGGCAGCAGTTATGCAGGGACAAGATGGGGCAATATGCTTCCATAAAGATTATAGTCTCGACAACTATATAGGGCAGTTCTATAAGGTCACGATGAGTTGGAATTGACTTGATGACAGTAACTTTGGTTTGTGAGTTAGGAAGTAGGGGAAAGAGCTAAGATTTTAGTTGGAATCTTAAGTTTTGAAATAAATACATATAACAACTTCTTTAATAATGGGAGCATGGTGGTTCCATAGGACAAGCACCGGACTGTGAGCCATAAAGTAAGTAGTTCAAGCCCGCCAGCTGCTCTGCAAGAGAAAGATGAGGCTTTCTGCTCCCACAAAGATTTACAGCCTCAGAAACGCTACACAGGGTCCTATGAGTCAGAATTAACTGGAGAGCCCGTAACAATAACCTCTTTAATACAAAAATTTTAATAACCAAAATTTACTGGAAAGTTATGGAGTCTTGCCAAGATGTTGGATAGAAACCCTCCATTTGGTAGAAGAGTTCAAACTATGACAGTTAATGGGAAGTTATTGAAGAAAAAAATCCACTTTTATAAATCCACAAGCTAAGACTTCTTAATGAACCCATCACACCAAGTTAAAAAATAAGCCGAAGAGCAAGAGAAGTTGTTTGCAATATGTAACAGCAATCAGTACCCACAACATTATGGAACTTTGGCAAATTACTAAGGAAAGCACTAACAGTCTAAATAGAATTAGGCAAGAAAATTTAAATTCACAGAGAGGAAACTTTAATGACTTCATTGTCAAACAAATGAAAAGATGTTCAATTTTAATGGTAATCATGAAAAAGGACATTTAAACAACAAATACCAATTCACTCCCATAGTTTGGCAAGGAATTCCTTTCATTTAAAAAATATTTTTCAAATCTACAAAAAACATCAAGTTGTTGTTGTGAAGTGCCTTGAGTTGAGTCGATTCTGACCCATAGCGACCCTGTATAGGGTTTCTGATGAGCAGCTGGTGAGCTTGAACAGCCGACCTGACCTGGCAGTTCAAATGGCTTTGCAGTCTGGCACATTAACTCAAAGCGCCATACCAGGTAGTTCATGTGTATTCTTCACCTGTTATTGTTAGGGGCCATTGAATAGGTTCCAACTTTTCCTCACAATGTTTCCTATGTTTGAGTCCATTGTTGCAGTCACTGTGTCAGTCCTTCTCATTGAGGATCTTCCTCTTATCTGTGGATCCTCTAGTTTACCAAGCATGAAGCTTTTCTCCAGGGATTGGGCCCTCCTGATAACATGGCCAAAGTACACGAGACAGTCTCACTATCCTCCCTTTTAAGGAGGAACCTAGCTGTACTTCTTCCAAGACAGAAGTGTTCATTCTTCTGGCAGTCTAACACCATAATTCAATTGCTCAATTGTTCTCAGGAGTCCTAAATCACTGTATATGAGCTTTCACATGTGTTGCTGTTGTTGTCGTTAAGTGCCATTGAGTTGGTTCCGACCCATAGTGATCCTGAACAGGGTTTCCGAGGCTGTAAATCTTTACTGGAGCAGAAAGCCTTATCTTTCTCCCGCGGAGCAGCTGGTAGTTTCGAGCTGCTGACCTTGCGGTTCACAGGTTCACAGCCCAATTCATAACCACTATGTTAAAATACCATGACTTACATTGTTGTTGGAGTCCTGGTGTGGCACTGTGGGCTATTGCATCAGATAGCAAAGTCGCTTGAACTGCAAGGTCAGTGGTTCAAGCTCACCAGGTGCTCCTTGGAAACGCACTATACAGGGTCGCTATCAGTCGGAATCCACTCAATGGTACTTAGCAACAACAACAACGCTGTTGTTAGTTAGGCGCACCTTAGTCCTCAAAGTAACATCTTTGCTCTTGAACACTTTAGAGGTCTTGTGTGGCAGATTTGCCCAAAGCAACATGTCATTTGATTTCTTGCCTGTTGCTTACATGTGCATTGATAGTGGATTCAAATAAAATGAAAACTTTTACAGCTTCATTTTTTTCCCTCTGTTTACTATGCTTTCATATGTATTTGAAAGGTATTAGTCCAAGGGAGAAGAAAAGATTGAACTTGAATATTTTAAAAGGCTTATGTGTGTGCTTTATAGATATTGGTTTCTCCTGTCTATTATTGTAAAATAGACATATATGTGTGATAGGACTATTGGGAATTATGATTGCAGAGAGCTTGTAAACCCTTCTTCAGCCTATACTTGATTGGATTTGTTAAAGGGGAAGTTTGAATTTGCCCTGAAAAAACAGGCTTCCTGGTTTAAGCCTTTGTAGAGAATGGGACTTTAGGTGGAATCTTGAGCCCCACCATTTGCATCTGAAAAGACAATGAGACCAACCCAGAACTGCTAGGAGAACAGGAGATTCAAGCAAAAAAAAAAAAAGCAGACTTTTTGAGTTTTGGAGGCATCAAGATAAGGAAAGTCATTTCACCAGAGAAAATCCCCTTCTAGGACTGCAAGTTAAAGGGACCCAGTGAGCAGTATGCTTGCTGATGACCACCTGACTGACTCTATGTATGAGTGGAATTGGGGAAAATGCAACAATGAAGACACCAGCTGAGTTTGGGTGTGTTCAAGCTCAAAGGAAGATGTGTTCAAACTGAGATGAGATTAAGACAGAAGGTTGTCTGGTCTGGAGTTTAGGGAGTTGTGTGAACTCCTAAACCCATGGGGCAAGGGCTGAGAGTGAAGTGGTCAACTAGTTTAAAGTGCAGGGATGTGTTTGTGAACTCCCAAACTTGTAGCTGGTACCCATTTGACCTAGCTTGGTTAGCTAGGATTGAGCTGACCAGAACCTGATTAGATGAAGATAAAGATGTTTGATACTCTGAGCAAGTGTCAATTGCTATAATTTGACAAACTGGACTTTTGCTTATGGATACAATTGCTCAAAATTCTGATTATAAAGCAAGGTTCTACAGATCAAGGAATATGCTTGTCTCCTTAGTATGCTGGGTTGATTTGTTGTTGTTGTTAAGTGCCATTGAGTTGGTTCTGACTCATATTGACTCTGCATAAGTTTTCTGAGGAGGAATTGATGAGTCTGAACCTCGTGGTTCAAACCGACCTTGCGGTGCAGTGCATTATCCTGAAGCACCACACCAGGAATCCTATTGGGTTGATATTGTTGTTGTTGTTAAGTACTGTGGAGTTGGTTCTGACTCATAGTGACCCTGCACAGGGTTTCTGAGGCTGTAAGTCTTTACGGGAGCAGAAAGCCTCATCTTTCTCCTATGGAACGCCTGGTAGTTTTGAACTAATGACCTTGAGGTTAGCAGCTTGATTCGTAACCACTACGCTACCAGACGGGCAATTTGGACATTGACTATAAAAAATGGAGAGGGGCTATAAAGACATGAAGTAGCTGGTTTGTAAAGTTTTCATGGGTGTGTTTGGTATTAGAATGAGGGAGCAAAGGAAAATCCCCACTGAGACTAATTTTCCTGTTTTCCAAATGGGTTTGGGGAAATGGGGTGAGAGATGATGCTGATAGGATTTTATGATTTCAATTGTGAATAATTGTTAGTAGGATTAATTGTGATAGGCAAAACTGTAATTGTAGAAAATATGTAACTAAAAGAAGGGACTAGTTACCTTTCCTTTCAGGACAGACGATCCCAGGACCAAAATGAAAGAGCATGAGTGGAGGAATAACTGCCTGGAAAAGTGGGGACAACAGGGACAACAGCAGAGGTGGCAGCATGGAAAAACAGAGCAGCTCTGGACTCTAGGCCCATGGGCTGAGTAAGGCTGTGTGCCTCAGGGCAGGAGGCTGGTTTGCACAATGTGCCCTTTGGACATTTAAATGAATATATAGCTTTTTTTTTTTGTTTTACATGTGTGCATCAGATACTTTTGCTTTGTTGGTTTGTGATATTTAAGATGAAAACGGGGCCAGCACATTTTCAGTTATACATATTTTAGTTATATCATGTTAGGCGCAAGTATGACTTCACAATTTTCTTTATTTAGAGATTATGCATATAGTTTATAGGTGTCAAATTGACAAGGGTGGAATGTAATGGTTAGGGCTTTGTGTCAACTTGACTAGGCCAGGATTTCCAGAGTTTAGCAGTTAGGATATACTTATTTCTATAGTAATGAAACCTAATACAGGCATAGTTTGCTCTATGATGAGCAGTTATGAGCAGCCAATCAACTAAAGGGACGCTTCCTTGGGGATGTGGTTTACTCCCAATATCACAGA